CCCCCACTTTATGGAGGAGGAAACGTAGAGGAACAGGGAGGGGAAGGTCAATTGCCCAGGTATTCCAGCTGAGATTGGCACCCACCATCCCAGGAAGAGAAGGCCTCCCTCTGACCTTTCCTGCTGGAGCTTGGGTGGGGGACTGGCCTGTCCAGGCCCGCCTGGCCTTGCCCCTCTCCTCCCTGTCCCCCGCCCAGCCCTGGGAGGGCAGCTGCAGCTGCTGGCAGGCAGGCCACATCAGCCCAGGCCAGGTGGGTGTGGCAGAGGGGCAGTGCACCCCCCCAGCCAGGACCCCCCCTAGAGAGCCCCTTTCCTGGCCAGGCCATGGTGGGGGGCGGTTACAGGAGGGGCATGACCCACCCCCAGAGGGTTAAGAGTGGGCTGGGGTCTGGGCAGGCCTGGCCATGCCTCCTACCCTGCTGGGGGGGCCCAGGCAGGAAGCGGTGGGTGGGCCGGGGCAGAGACGCTGGCACGCCCGAGTTCATGCCGAAGGAATTCCGAATTAGCGGGCGGCTGGCTGCCTGGGACCTCCGGGGCGGCCCCCTGGCCCCCCGCCCCCGGCCGCCCCCGCCTCCTCAGCTCTGGCCCGCTCAGACGGCTCCTTCGCACGGACGCTGAGACCTCCGGCGAGCCCTGGGCCAAGCCCCAAACGCAACTGCGATCCCAGGCTCCAGCAAGACATGGCCCTCAAGCCAAGTTTGCCCCGGAAAATTGTCAGGGCCGGCCCCAGAACTGTGTCCACCCCACCTCATCCATCCGGGACAGTGAAGGCCAGCAAAGGGCAACCGCTGGCATTCAGGGGCCTCCCAGGGAACCATGATCACCCTGCCCTTGGCTGCCAAGGAAGCTAGGCTCCCATTGCACCCCTGCAGTCCCTTCTTATAGCTGCCTAGCAATCTTTTTGAAATAACAAATTCCTTCCCTGCTCAGAATCCTGGAATAACTCCTCCCTGCAGGTCTGGCCCCTGCTGATCTCCCAGACCTCATTCCCTACCACCCCTGCCCCAGGATCTTTGCACTTGCTGCTCCCACCACCTGGGCACTCTCTTATTCTCTTCTATAAATTTTCATAGCTATTTTTTCACTTTATTCGTATCTCAGCTCAAATGCCACCTCACCAGACAGGCCTCCTGGCCTGTTTAACTGCCCACCACTGATACATGCTTTATTTTCTCCCTTATTTATTCTTAGATATTTATTTGTTCTTTGTCCTGATGCTCTCTTTGATTCAAGGCCCACAAGGGCATGAATTTTGGGTATCTGGTCACCATTGTGCCCTCAGGTTCTGGCACAATGTAAGTTCTCCTTGAATGAATGAATGGATGAATGAACAAATGAGTGAATGAGTCCTCACAACCACTCTTGGTGGAGGGAGGGGTCCCCTCCCAGAGGCTGAGAGAAGTAAAGGAACTGGGCCAACCTCCACAGTGAGCTGGAGTCATTGGAACCCAGGGCAGCCAGGCTTAAAGGTCTTGTCATTAAGGCAGTATTTTTACTTCTCTCAAACAACCCCATGTAGCTGATACTATGATGCCCACTTCCCAGATAGGGAGATGAGACTCAGAGGGGCATCCAGGGCTTGAACCATGCATCCCCTCCCCATTCTCTGGGCCTTGTTTTCCCCTTGGGTAAAAACGGGTTACTCTTAAGTTCTAATCTTCAGGAGAAGCCATGAACTGCCCCAGCAGCAGGCAGGTGGAAAGACATCAACCTTGAAATCCCAGAGGCACCTGTGCCCAGCACCCAATTCACACACAACCCAGTTTAGGAAGTTATTTCCCAACTGATCTTCACAATTGCCCTGAAGACGAAGAGCTTTCTTGTTCCCATTTTGCAGATTAAGAAAACTGAGTTGAGGGAAAGCATGATGATGATGTCAGTCCTCCTGGATGGGAGCCTAGCGCTTGCTACAGCCACCTTCAGTTCCAGTGGCAGCACAGAGCAGAACTTGGGAGACTGACAAATCCGGGTTCACATAGTGTGCCCCTCTTCTATTTGATGAACTTCAAGAAGAGACTTGATCTCTCAGAGCCTTGTTTCTTTCATCCATAAAATGAGCTGGATTCTAGTAGGAGTCAGGGTATCCTTTTTAAGAAGTGCCTTCCGCCGACAGAGACATCTACTATGTGTGAGGTTCTGGGGGTATCAGAGAAAGAACTCACAATCTGTTATTTCTAACTGAAAAAAAAAAGGCATAATGTAGTGTTTGTCAGAAGTATGTGGAAGGCAGGAGTTACTTGGATCTGAGTGGGCACTTATGCCCAAGGTTTGAAACCAAGTCAGTAAGGAAGTCAGTAAGGAAGTGACTGGGAAGGACCTGAGTTCTTGAATCAGACAGTTCTAGGGCTGAATCTCAGCTTTGCCACCAACCTGGGGCTGGTCATTTGACCTAATTGATCCTCAAGTCTCCCTCTCTGTAAAATGGGTGGCAGTAATAAACAGCTCCTTTGCAGGACTGCCATGAGTCTTAAAGGTCCTAGGATGGTGGAGGGTTCCAGGTAGCCCCGTCCCAGGCCTGACAGGTATTCCTCTCTGACCCTAGACACGGCTGTCATCAGTCCCCAGGACCCCACGCTCCTCATCGGCTCCTCCCTGCAGGCCACGTGCTCTGTGCACGGGGACACACCAGGGGCCACCGCCGAGGGCCTCTACTGGACCCTCAACGGGCGCCGCCTGCCCCCTGAGCTCTCCCGAATGCTCAATGCCTCCACTCTGGCCCTTGCCCTGGCCAACCTCAACGGATCCAGGCAGCAGTCGGGGGACAACCTTGTGTGCCACGCCCGTGACGGCAGCATCCTGGCCGGCTCCTGCCTCTATGTTGGCCGTAAGTGGGCTCCCAGGACACCCATGGGTAGCTCTTGGGTGCATCATCTCCCTCTGGAGAGAGGCATGAATCATGGGCCCTCCGATCAGCGAGCCACTGAACAGTGGGCTCGCTGGCACAAGTTGAGAGGTATGGGCCTCTAGGGTGGGGATGAGAGCCTGGAGACTGCCCCCCCAACACACACCATCCTCAAGAGAGCCATGCAGGTGGTCCTGCCAACATCTGCTCTGTCCACCCTCCTTCCACTCCAAGGTGGGGGCCCCGGCTGGCAGCCAGCAACTCCTCCATCTGTCCACGGCTGGTCCAGACCCTCAGCCCCTGCACCCCACTTCCCCAGTGCCCCCAGAGAAACCCTTCAACATCAGCTGCTGGTCCAAGAACATGAAGGACCTGACATGCCGCTGGACGCCGGGGGCCCACGGGGAAACCTTCCTCCACACCAACTACTCCCTCAAGTATAAGCTGAGGTTGGTAGTGGCCCTCGGGTGACATGTATTCCAGGTGGGCTGTGTGGCCTTGGCCAAGCCTGCCTTCGCTGAGCCCTGGGGTCCTCTCTGCATTCTGGGGGTGATGTGGGGAGGTGTGGGGGCCCAAAGGGACCCTTAGGTGTCCTCCTTCTCTTCTGCCCCTGCAGGTGGTATGGGCAGGACAACACATGTGAGGAGTACCACACGGTGGGACCTCACTCTTGCCACATCCCTAAGGACCTGGCTCTCTTCACACCCTACGAGATCTGGGTGGAGGCCACCAACCGGCTGGGCTCAGCCCGCTCTGATGTGCTCACACTGGACATCCTGGATGTGGGTGAGCCCCCTGACCAGGCCAATCTGGCCCACCTGGGATCCTGCCACCCTCCCCCCAACACACACCATCCTCAAGCCCCAGCCCAGCCAGGGCTGCAGCTCAGCTGAGGTAGGACCCTGCCGTTTGGGATGAGGAGGAGCCAGGCATCCACCCATCGGTCCCCAGCCCCTGAAGCAGCCAGGATACCCCCACTCTGTGGAGAACACCTGGCCTGGTTGCCTCCCCCTCGGCAGCCCAGGTGTGCGGGAGGGGGCCCCTGGGAGCTGGGAGGGGGCGCCCAGGTCGGGAGGCGCCCCAGGAAGCAGCAGCCTGGAGCTGGGGGGGAATGCGGGCGGGAGGCAGGAAATGGATGATCTGCGAGCAGAATTGGGCCTAATCTAATTAGGGTGTTTCTCAGCCCCAAGCAGGCCTGTGACTTAACCCTTTCGGCCCCTCACCAAGGCCTCAGGGGAAGAAACCAGCCCTCCCTGCTGCCCTATGGGCTCCCAGAAGGATCCTCAGAAGGCTTGTAGTTATTCCCTCCTCCAGCCCAAGTCCCACTTTCCTTCCTTAAGTCCTGAAGCTGCAGGGGCATGTTCTAAGCCTCAGTTATCCCTTTGTACCCAGGAGAGCCGTCATACCAAGGACCTCTGTAAAGTAGGAAGGAGCTGGAGGTGGGCAGTGGCAGTTCAGGGGAGTGTCTCAGGGATCTGGCAGCCTGAGGGGCCCCCTGGCCTCTTGGGCATAATAATAATAATATCACCGTCCAGGCAGTGTCAGCTTTTTACATAGTTCCCTGAAGATAGGATTATGTTTCTCCTGTCACAGATAATGATGGTGATAACAGCTAACATTAATTGAGTGCTGCTAGGTGTTGAGTGTTTCCCGAATATTATCTAATGTAATCTATCCTGAAGGGGGGAGGGGGGAGAACGATGGCAGGTGCCATCTAAGCCACGTGCCCTGGGTATTTGGACCCAGACAGGGGCCAGCCGGGTCCAAAGAGAGCCCAGTGACTGAGCGCCGCCTCGCCCCCCTAGTGACCACCGACCCCCCGCCGGACGTGCACGTGAGCCGTGTAGGGGGCCTGGAGGACCAGCTGAGTGTGCGCTGGGTTTCGCCGCCTGCCCTCAAGGACTTCCTCTTCCAAGCCAAGTATCAGATCCGCTACCGAGTAGAGGACAGCGTGGATTGGAAGGTGCCTGCCCCCACCCAGCTGAGCTCCCCCTCTCCCTCTCCCCCTGCCGCCGCCAGCGCCTCTGATCCTGCCCTGGCTGCCCAGGTGGTGGACGACGTGAGCAACCAGACCTCCTGCCGCCTGGCGGGCCTTAAGCCCGGCACCGTCTACTTCGTGCAAGTGCGCTGCAACCCCTTTGGTATCTACGGCTCCAAGAAGGCAGGGATCTGGAGCGAGTGGAGCCACCCCACCGCTGCCTCCACTCCCCGCAGCGGTGAGCACTCCAACAGGGCTAGGTGGTCCCGGGACCAGCCACAAACCAGTCTCAAACCAGCCTGGGCCTCCGTTCCCTTGTTTCCGCCAAGAGTGCAGAGGTCTCAAACTCGTGAACCCTGGGGCCACATGTGGCCCCTGGATCTATTTTCTTGGCCTGTCATTTGAAAAAAAAATTTTGACCTACTCGCAGACATTTAAAGACAGTATGTTTTCACACAAATAGTCTAGATTTCCTAGAAAAATTGTCTAGAAAATGTAACAGGACGCAGCCTGTTCCTCTATGCCTCCATCAGCAAATGCTCCCTCTTAAGTCAGTGGTGGAGGGGGTTAGCATCCCTACCTGGCCGGTTTCCCTCACATGTACCCCTTCCCTAACCCATAAGGGCAAGTGAGTTTGAGACCCCTGCTTCTAAGGCCGATCAGCTGCCAACTCTATGACTGTCTTCTATTCCTCTTTCTATTCAAGGTAGGGGAATGGGATGATCAGAGACCTAGGTCTGATTGCCTTTGGGGTCTGAGGTTTATCTAAGCCCATGGTCCTCCCTTTTCTTCTTTGAGAAATGGCATGAAACCTTACTTGGACATCTGGCCTCAACTTCCCCATCTGGAAAGTGGGGGTGATAGTCACACCTGCTTCAGGCTATCGTGAGGGTTGGATGGGCTAACCCCAAAGAAAGTGCCCTCATGCTGGGTGTCACTGCCGTGTTTGCAAGAAATAGCTACTGAGGTTCCCATCCCCTGCTCCCCACACTGTTTCACCCAAAGGAGGCCCCCTTTTCTCAGATAAGGGCACTGAGGCTCCGAGACGGTCAGCCAGCCCCCAAGGTCACACAGAGATCTGAATTCAGTCCCGAGGATGTCCAGGCTCATGCTCCTGGGATGCTGGGGAAACCAAGGCCCAGAGAGGATCCCAGAGTCAGGGAGTGGCAACAGGGCTCCAGCCAGTTTCCCTCTCCCCAGCCCCCATCCCGGGCCCCTCCAGGTTCAGGGGTGGGCGGGAGCTAGCACAGCCGGGAGGGGCCTGAGCCTTGGCCCCTGCTCGTGCCCAGCACCTGCGATTCTTGCACGGGAGCCAGCAGGCGGCTGTGTCCACTGGGGAGGCTGGGGAGGCCGGGGGAGGCCGGCAGGGGCGGTGGGGGCCGGGGCTGTGCCAGGGCCTGTCAGCGGGTCCCCAGCATTATTTATGACGTGAGGCCGATGTCCTTATCCGCCAGTCTGCTCAGGCTGCTCAGGACTGGCTGCGGCCTGCGGCTGGACCTACAGGCTGGCCTCCCACCTGGCCCTCCTGGCCCACTCCCCATCTAAGCGGCTCGTACTCTCAGGCCTGTCCTGGGGACTGTCCCCTCCCCTCCAAGTCACCTCGGTCTATTTCTTTCATCTGTCACTCTCTTTCCCTGTGTCTGTCTTTTTGCCTTTCTTGGTTTCTGTGTCCCTACATCCCCAGGGTCTCTGTCCCCACCTTCTCCAGCTGTCTATCTCCTGACCCCCTGCATCTCCTTGGCTGTCCCCCATTGTATTCGCTCTCCCTGTGTCTGTCTCTCCTTGTCTCCATCTCTCAGTCTCTGTCTCTCTCTCTCCAGCTCTTTCTCATCAGTGTCTCTCTCTTCCTCTCTCTGCCCCCTGCTCCGTCTGCATCTCATCTCTCTGGCCCTGACTTCTCTCCTCCTCCCTCCCTTCCACTCACACCTGGCTCAGGCCAAAGGAATTGGGTTCCTGGAGGAGATGTGGAGGAGGAGCCCCTTCCTTCCCCTGCCCCTCATCTCCTTGGGGGCGCAGCTGGGCTGCTGTGCTGGACCGTGGGGAGGACTGGGTCCCTGAGAAACAGGGAGGGAGGCGCCCAAGGGGGACGCGGTCTCGCGGCACAAGGGAACCTCCCTCTCCTGCCCGCGCGCGCCCTCTGCCGGGCGCGGTCTG